TTCACTTTTAAATGGGAAATAATACCACAATCTGAGTTTTGCTTTATTTCCAATAATTGCTTATTTATACTATTTGTAAAAAAAAACAGTTTACTGACAGAAGGAAAAAGAACTTTGTTTATTCCAAAAATACAATTAAACCAAGGCACGTTGAACGGGTAATATCGGTATAGAAGCTGATTTGATTTTTTTCAAATTATTTGTTCTCGAAAATGTCAAATATTTTACATTTCTTCTCACAAAAATTCTAAATTGTTAAAATCTATTTGCATGTGAAACATTTTCCATACAAAACCAGCGATTAAATAGCAGCTTTTGGAAAGCTCGCCCAACTCAGCAGCACAACCGCTGATTACTGGGCCTGGCACAGGATGGATCAATGCTTCGAGAAGCGAACCAATTTACTAAGAAAAAAAGTTGCAACAATTTTTNCGAGAAGCGAACCAATTTACTAAGAAAGAAAGTTGCAACAATTTTCATTTTTTAAATTTAAATTTTTTACCTTTTTCGTATTTCGCATGGCACGCTTTGATGTAGAAGAAAAAAAACAGAACAGTTTTTGGCACTTCGATACCAGAAGCAACAACAAAATACAGACAAATGTTGTTTTTGCTCAAATGCTCTAAACCTGTTTGATAGGCCTTGAATTAAACAAAAAATGGGATATAATTCATATGAAGAAAGTAATATTCATAAAATATTTTTACTTATGAAAAGCCTAAGAAAATATAGGAAAAGCATCGTCTTTAAAAACTGTTCCGCATATTGGACATAGCGCTTTTGTATGAATTTTTTCTGCATGCTTTTTAATATGTTAAAAACATTGCTGGAAAACCTTAAAATGTTTGCATGGAACCATGCCGCAATAAACAGATGAAGTAATAAAACGGCTTTCTCGCTTTATTTTCTGACATTCGGCTGCCTTATAGTCACATTTTATAGGCAAATTTTCAAATAAAGCAGTGGCAACTAATAAATTCCACTATGGGTGGGATGCATGCAATAACACCATACACAATAATTCCCATTACTTGGACATTAAAAAGCAGTTTCAGAAGTGAACTAGTGTTATTTTATCATTTTTCCTTTTCTAAACGGTTATAATGCCACCAGTACATAATTGCGAAAGGAGGTGAGGGGCGGGGGACGCGAGCGCGACCCCTGCAAAAATCGCGAATACTCCATGCATGCGTGTAAAGAGTACTCCCTAAGGACCAATGAGTACTCGAATATTAACCACAATTCATATAAAAAATATGGTCCAATTAACATTGCGATGTCCTAGGGCAGGACCATATACTCCATCCCTGCATTACATCAGAGTAGCACAAAACTACTCCAACATATTAACAATGGCATTGTTGTTATATTTTTTCATTTGTACACGCTTTTGTTCTTCACTTCTCAAATGCTTTTTCGAAATTAATAAAAACCAAGACAAAAATTAAAAATTACATGTTGCCTCTGACGGCATTCGAACCCGAACATGCTGGGAGCTAAGAACTAACAGCGAGCATCTCTACACGTTCAGCTACAGCCAGACATGCAAATGTGCTTTCAAATGCTCAACTTCAATCACATTTCGTTAAAACACGAGCAGTTATCGGATAACAAACAATAAGCTGGCGCAGAGACACGAGTTGGTCCGCTACAGCATGACAGAGGAACACTTTTGTAAGTACTCCAATTTACCACAAATAGACTACATGGTCCAACGATTTTTGCAGGGACGTCGAACGCAGACCGCCGCGACACCGGGCACTTTCAATATTGTATACTTACAAATCCGTCCATTTAACTTGTTCATGTACTACTTTTTGTCAAATGTAACTGGGTGACTACCTACATATGTGCACTATTTTGCTTTATTACTCAAATTGTTAAGTATAAAAGTTGGTCTTATTGCTCAACGAGAAATGAAATAAAGCAAATTTGTGTTATTTCACATTCAATTGGGAACCAAACATGGCGACCAGAGAAGTGGCGAATCGATGATGGCTATTAAGAATCTGCGACGTTAATTACCGGAAACGCGTTTTCCGAATTCGGAAGTTATTATGACATTTATATGTACGTACATACATATGTATACTGGGTGTCCTAGATCACCCGTCCGCCCCCTCTAAAATGGAGACCGCAAAAACTGGACCTGCTAAATCGGGGATACTCTATCTTTTGGTGGTATTAACGAATTTCGGTCGAAAGTGGGTTAAACTGACCGGAAGTCCATTTTTTCAAATTAGATGTACTTTATGTCTTTATTACAGATTCGGATTTTTAGGATAAAAATACGTAACTTTTGTTCGAAACTTTTTTCTCAGATATGCCTTTTTTAACTTCTAAATGACTGTCGAACTAACTTAAATTCGTCTTGGACTTCTTAAATGGGTGAAAATGTTTTTATTGGAAAACGAAAAAATATGAATTACCAAAGCGGGGATGCTCTATCTTTTCGTCGTATTACCGACTTCTGGTTCCGGAAGTCCATTTATTTAAATATAAATACTTTTACCCCAGATTCGAATTCTGCACATAAAAGTACGTACCTTTTGTCGGCAACTTTTTTTCCGGAAGTGGGTTAAACTGGGCGGAAGTCCATTTTTTAAATTACGTATGTATGTTTTTACTACAGATTCGGATTCTAAGGATAAAAATACGTAAATTTTGCTGGAAACTTTTTTCTCCAAAGTGTGTTTTTCAACTTCTAAATGACCTTGGAACTTTAACTCGTCCTGGACTCTTGTTGAAAGGTATTGAAAAAAAGGCACTTCTGAGAAAAAGGACTCAAACAAAAGTTGGCTAGTTTTGTCCACAGAAACCGAATCTGTAGTAAAAACAATCATGCGTAATTGAAAAAAAGGACTTCCGCTCCAAACAGGAAAAAAGTTTCCGAGAAAAGGTATGTAATTTTATGGGCAGAATTCGAATCTGTGGTAAAAATATTTATATCCCATTTAAATAAATGGACTTCCGGTCAGTTTAACCCACTTCCGGTCGAAACCGGAAGTCGGTAATACCACCAAAAGATATAGAGCATACCCGATTTATTGGGGGCACATTTTTGCGGGTTTTAATATAAAAACATTTCCCTCCATTTTAGAGGGCGTGGACGGGTGGTCTAGGACAACCTGTATATTATAATTTGTGGACATTTTCACAAGCAAAACTCGGGGCAATTTGTGCAACAATAAATTGTGCCCCAAAATCTCATTTACATTTGGTATTTTATAGTCATCCTGTCGAGGCTTTGAAATGCCCATGAATCTTGCTCTCACTTTCCTAAAGGGCCAGCGACTTTTCTTTCACATGCATATTCGGATTCACTTAACTCTCTACGTTTTCCATTCGCACACTCTCTGTGTACCCTCAGTTCGTTAGATTTATCATTAAATTAGCAATTTTTGCCTTACGCGACGAGCTTCGGCAACAGCGCTATTGCTAGTGGTATATAAAGGCGCGATTGTCTGAGGGGAGCTTAGTTAATCACACAGTCGCATGTGTGCCGCAAAGAGGAGCAATCGGCAAAACAAAGTGCTAGAAGCGTTTAAAAACAATTCGTATAGTATATCGGGAGCAAGTTCACATTTGTATTTCGGAAGTTTATACTTAATAAAACGGATAAGGAAATAGACACAGCCACACGTTGTTCAAAAGTGAATTAAAATGAAAACTTATCATACGTTGTGGTCGACCACTGTGCTTGTTTTTTTGTGTTTTTACACTGCACAGATATGGTCAGCATATTTGCCAATCGTTGAAGAACATAACCTAAATAACTTGGAAGGAACAGAAAAACAAACATATCAACGTCGTTCATTTACACAGAGTCCAGAATATCGAAGAAGCAGTACCAGCGAAGAGGCAGGAGCAGAGGACAACTATAACGACCCGGACGCAGTGGTAGCATCCAACACCGACACAGACACGAGCACAAATGAGCAGACCTCGGCGATGCTGCCCAAATGGCGATTATTACCTCATGGATCATACGATAAAAACTATGACGTAGTGCCTGGCAAGGCGCCAGTAGATGCGGTGGCGTGGTCGTTCGATCAGAGCAATAGTTTTCATGCGTACGAAAATAGCTATGCGTACGATGCATTTGAAGGTGACAGCGATATCGAAGCGGACGGCGACGGTGACGGCGACGGCGACGGCGAGGACGAGTTGATTGCCGAAGAGAAAACAAATGCAGAAATATTGAGCCGCAAGCGACGTGGGTTCGATGATTGGTTCATAGCGCCCCATACACGCTGGTGTGGGCGTGGCAATTCAGCCAACAATACATACAACCAACTAGGTGGCGCCTCAGATGCCGATAGATGTTGCCGCCGGCATGACCACTGTCCTCTATTTATATCGGCTTTCAGTAGCCGCTATGAATATTTCAACTTTCGTCCATACACCCTGTCCCACTGCAGTTGTGATCGAAGTTTCCGTACCTGCTTGAAAATGAACAACGATGACGCGTCGACTACCATCGGACAACTCTTCTTCAACATGGTGCCATCACAATGCTTTATAGTACGCAAAGAACGCCAGTGCCAGCAACGTGATGAGGAGGGAAACTGTGTGAAGGAGACAACGCGAAAACGGGCCTTTGTGCGGGACAACCTTAAGTATTAAATAATACCAAAGTACATGCGCTTGAGAAGCAGAGACTCAAAAAGGAATAAATAAACGAGACTGACTGGCAAGTGGCAGGGAGTAGCAGAGTCGCTAATTATGCCTTAAGAAGCTAATAAAATGCAAGTGCGAGAAAGATCGAGAAAATATTTTTGAACTACAGAATAATGTGGCTGGCCAAGAACGGCGCGCATAAATACATATGTATATACATATATGTATGGCATTGGGGTGGTCGAACATTTTTTTTTCCTGCTACCGGAACTCAAGAATATCGAAAATGAGGAGATCCGTATATATATTTTTGTATATCTATTATAAAGAAAAAAATATCTTCAAACGATAAAATGACGCATACATCCATATGCATTTCAAAATAAAAAAATACGGGTGTCCTTATTTTCCCTTTTCTATAATACCGGTGGTTGGCAGCAAGAAAATGCCAAAAAGTTGATTTTCCTGTGCGTTTTGGAAGCTTCCTAATGTACATACTTACATACATATGTATGTATGCACAGTTGCGGTCAAAAAGATAGTAGCAAAATGCAAAATGATATTGTTTGCAACTTATGTTTATTTATTTATTTTTAATAATTTTTATTTAAAATAGAGTTTGATCCTTACTAGAAACCACATAAATAAAAGTTTCACAGCTTGCACAAAGTTAACAAAAATTAATCAAACTTTAAAAAATTGAATTAAAATTTCAAACTCTTTATTAAAAATTTGTAGAAAATTTTCGAGTATGCAGTTTTGTAGCCCATTTAGTTTTAGTACAGTTAAGTGCAAGTTTCAAGTCGCTAAAAATTACCGTTGATTTTTTACACTTTTTTTTTGTGGAGGGTGTTGCGGATTTATTCATATAAAAATAGATTTTTTCATACATTATTTGGAAGAAAACAGTACTACTATTTTATTGACCGCAGCTGTATGTTTGTAGTTGGTTATCGAAGCCGGCGCATGTAAATGGTGTGCTGAAAAATTGTATTATCGAGCTCTAGCAACATTTATATTTCNTGTTGCGGATTTATTCATATAAAAATAGATTTTTTCATACATTATTTGGCAGAAAAAAGTACTACTATTTTATTGACCGCAGCCGTATGTTTGTAGTTGGTTATCGAACCCGGCGTATGTAAATGGTGTGCTGAAAAATTGTATTATCGAGCTCTAGCAACATTTATATTTGNCCAAAAAGTTGATTTTCCTGTGCGTTTTGGAAGCTTCCTAATGTACATACGTATGTATANTAAAAAATTGAATTAAAATTTCAAACTCTTTATTAAAAATTTGTAGAAAATTTTCGAGTATGCAGTTTTGTAGCCCATTTAGTTTTAGTACAGTTAAGTGCAAGTTTCAAGTCGCTAAAAATTACCGTTGATTTTTTACACTTTTTTTTTGTGGAGGGTGTTGCGGATTTATTCATATAAAAATAGATTTTTTCATACATTATTTGGCAGAAAAAAGTACTACTATTTTATTGACCGCAGCCGTATGTTTGTAGTTGGTTATCGAACCCGGCGTATGTAAATGGTGTGCTGAAAAATTGTATTATCGAGCTCTAGCAACATTTATATTTGAATCCAAATTCAAATAATATTTACGATAATGCACTAACACAATTTTAAATACACTTAATTTATAAATAATTGAATTTAATTTAATTTCGATATTAGCTCTTACATACATATATCACTTGCCAGTCCTTTCTTCGAGATTTTATTAGTACACCTAAGCAAATGAAATATTTGTATATTTAAGCGTATATTCATATACATATTTATAATATTTATATTGTATACATAAGTACATAGATTTTAATCCGTGGCGTTAATTTCTATAGTAGTACTTGCTTCGACAGGCAATGATAAATCTAGTGAACAGCCCCTGAACACTGTTCTCATTGAAAAGAGTCAAAAGTTTGGGACGGCATGAAGGAATTTTTTACCTATTCCACCTTGGCGAAGCTAAGAACCTGTCGACTTTGCATTATTACCGTTATTGTTACTTTTTGTAGTCAATAAAAAGAATTCAAGATAATAACTGCGCTAGACCTAAAAGTATGTTTTAAGATGAATATAAAACAAAATTTTTTTAAA